CTCTTGGTACAGAGTACTAGAAAATGTCTAGTGTGAAGCCATTGCAGGTAAGTGACCTCCTGAGCCAATATTTTAATTGGTCTCTGGTTTAATCATCTGTTCAGAATGCCTCTGCTACTAATACTGTTGGGAATGGTCAGACGGTTCGTCGCAAGAAAAATCATGACGAGTAGGCGAGTTAATCTTGAAGATGGTCCAGAATTTGCGAAAGAGTGGGAGTAGTCCAATAATTATTGGCGTCAATGAGCAGGTGTTATTCCCATAAAGTAATCACGTTCAGACTGAATTTGAACATCAAATGTCGACTTGCAGCTGTTTCTGCAAATGGGGAAAGAAAGGAGAGGCACGAGCAGATATGGAAATACAGATTACTACGCTATCAAATTTGGAGAAGAGAAAGGTCCCTATCCTTTTTTTATTTATTCGGACTTGATGTACATTTTCATGTATATATGTTAAGTCAACTACATAGTCCTTCCATTATAGGGTTATTAAGTCGTTTTTTTGGGAGGGGGGGGTGTACCGTAGTGGCTTTCAGTAATAAACAGTATTCTTTAAGTTCATTATACGGAGAGGAGCCGGTATTCATACCCTTGTATGCAATCGTGAGGCCATCTGCATTAAACGAACTTCAGGGCTTTAATAAAACCGATTCTTACATTTAGAGATCTGAGTACGTTCATAGCGGACGCAATGGCTTGACCATTGTTATGTGCCGATTGCTCCATTATGCTTCGTATTTGTGGATATAATATGAATGTCAAGAAATTTATGGATATCCGTGAAAAGGAAGAATTCGTTGAGTAGACGTCGAAACTGAAATGCAGACATGCAAGAGCGAATAAAATGTGGAAGCTTATTCCATAACTTGCTGTACTGTAACATAAAGGATCGTGACCTAAGTTTAAGGCGGTGCTTTTCTACAGGTACAGTACATTCACGATTGCGTAGACTATATGAAGATATAGGCTTAAAAGTAGGAGCGCAACAGGCGTGAGTAATGCCATGCAAAAGGCGGAAAAATAGGCTAAGGTTAAGCTTAAGGCGTCTTAGCCAAAGTGGGTCAATTTTTAATTTCTTACACCTTCCCACATAATCAAGTTCTTCGTGACGGCCCAGTACACAGCGGGTAAACTTTCTTTGAACATTCTCAATTAGTATCCTATCCGAAGCATACATATTGCTGAAGATGATTGTGCCATATTCAAGTACTGGGCGGATCATTACCTTGAATAAAAGCAGTCTAGCCTCATTGGTATGTACGTGTTTAAGCAAAAGGCCAACTGAGCGCCGACACCTGGAGGCAAGTGACTGGGCATATTCCGTAAACGTTAAGTTCCGAGAATACCTAATACCTAAATCACATACTGAGTTGTAAGATTGCAGCATAGAATCGCCAAGGTGTAAACTGACGTTTGGATAAGAGTTATTGAAACAGAGAATTCCGCATTTACTAGAGTTAAGTGGAAGTTGCCATGTTTCACTCCAAGCAAACAAATTCGTCAGGTCTTCCTGGATTCTATTAAAACCCTCACTTAGCGATGAGTGGGGAAAGCTATACACGATTTTTAAGTCGTCAGCAAACAGGTAGGGTTTACCATATTTTATCATGTCAGAAATATCATTTATGTAAAGGAGGAAAAGTAAGGGCCCCAACACACTACCTTGAATGACACCACTCAGAATAGGCTGTGGGGAGGAATAGGTTTGACTGAACTTTACTATTTGAGTACGCTGCCTAAGGAATGAGCTTATCCACGATAATAGAGGATCACTAATTCCAAATGATTGAAGCTTAAGAATTAACCGATTATGAGGCACTTTATCAAATGCTTTTTTGAAGTCAAAAAATAGAGCAGTTACGAAAAGACCTTCATCTCGTCTGCAGGTGACCTCCTCAAAATAATCCAGTAAGCAAGTACTACATGAACGACCTTTTAAGAAACCATGCTGCATAGGGGAAAGAAGCTGATGCGCAGCCACGTAGTCATTGATTTCTTGCGCAACGACCTTCTCCATGATACGAGAGACTACAGATGTAATATTTATGGGACGATAATTCTGAATTTCTGACGTCGGCCCAGATTTATACGTGGGAGATATGTATGACAGCTTCCAGCGGTCAGGGTAGCATGCCTCAGTAAGGGATATTGAGAATAGCTTCATGAGGATCAACGGTATATCTTCACCACCCCTCTTAAGGAGAACAGACGGGATCCCATCGGGTCCGGCAGAATATGAGTCCTTTAGTGAAGCAACTGCATCACCTATCTTTCTCTGTGTAAAGGAAACATTACTTAGCGAGTGGTGTGGTGGAATGGGCATTTGTATGTTTAGTACACTATCTTCGTGCGTGAAGCAGCTTGCATAATGTTTACTAAACAGCTCACAGATCTTTCTTGGGTCATCATAAAGAATGTCCCCATCGATGATCAGACTACTGGGAATAACTCTAGATAAGTTTGCACGGGATTTTAGAATTCTCACTAATGATTGAGCATTGCCAGTTTGTGCGTTGCAGCTGGTTTCTTGCTTGATTGCTTTCAGTAACTTATTTGATTTGAAGTTCTCATGAGCAATTTTTAATGAGACAAGGGATGAAAAGTCATTAGATCGATAGAAATTTCTGGCATGTCTGCGCATGCTGATACGTACTTTTTCAGGGATGAAATTCACTTTCGGCTTTCTAATTAGTACTGATACCTCCGGAGCAATGTGATTGTGAATTGCATTCATGGAACTGTAGAAGATGTCACTTAGTTCATGGGTTGAGCTACTGGTGAAATAAGAACCCCAGTCCAAGCATCGCAACATGTCTGCTATCACCCATGATCTTCCTGATAGTGATCGACTGGATTATGCAACAAACTGTGAGGAGCGAGAAGATGGGCATACGCTGGCTGTCTGGACCGATGAAAGGAGCCTATGAGATTTGGATTTTGCCGATGATGAATTATGTCTAATGTCACACAAACTTGAAGATCTACAGGCAAAAACCAAGTATTTGATAGAAGAGGCAGCGAAGACGGGACTTCAAGTAGACGCACAGAAGACAGAGATGATGAAGACACCTAGCCAACAACATGAACAACAAACACCAATCACCATGAACGAGAGAAACTTGAAGGAGGTAGCCTCTTTCACATGTCGAGGCAGCACTGTTTCAACTACAGGCGGCACAAGCACAGACGAGGACGTCAAAGCCAGCGAGGATCGGGAAAGCAAGACAGTTGTTCATTAACCTGAAACCAGTGTGGAGATCCACTGCACTGCACTCAGCATTAAGCCCGAAGAAGATCCGAATTTTCAACACCAATGTCAGTGAAGTTAGTGTTTCTATGTGATGGTTCAGAGACTTGGCGGAGCATTACGAAAGGGGTTTCCAGCAAACTGCAGACATTCATCAACAGCTGCCTACGCTGGCTCGTTACTGAAGCTCAAATGGCGAGAATAATAGGAATAGGCAACAAGGAACTCTGGCTGGGAACGAACCAACCAAGAACCTATCGCTGAACAGATATGCATTGGAAGGAAGTGGAGATGGATTGGGCATACACTGAGAAGGCCGATTGGGGACATCACGCTTCAGGCCAGGTTGTCGAGTGGAACCCAGATGGGAAACGGCGAGTTGGGTGTCTGTGATGAGGGTGACATGGAGGAGATGGTGTGGGGAAGAAATGAGAGCTTGTGGGCAGTGGTGGAGCCAGGTTCAAAAGATTGCAGAGAAGAGAATGCACTGGAGACGTGCTACTGAAGCTGCATATTCCACTAGGAACCCAAGGGACAAATCAAATGGTAATTGTCTGTTTTGTAGCCTCCTGAGTGCTATTCAGCCTAATAAGTCCCTGGTGCTCAAGGAGCTGGTCTAAAATGCCAGCTAATATGTAGCAGGAAATTACATGAAGACGTGAGTAACGGGATCCACATCGAAAATATGTCTTTTTGATAGAAATGATATTCAGAACAGTGAGGTGTTTGAGTGGAGGAGATAAAGGGAGGTCAGATAAACTATGTCTATGAACTCTCAAAAGCCTTGCAGATGGTACATTGAGGTCCCTGCTAACCTTTATCCAGCGTTTGCCTATTCGTCTTGATATTGAACAAACAATTATCTTCACGCTCCTTCTAAATATAGTGCTTTCACCAGCTCCACAACATCTTCGAAATTCCTGTGATCCCCAAATTTTTCACCCTCCGCATCAGGTGAGGCAGAATTATTTGGTGTACTGAGGATGCCAGCATAGTCCAGTGAATCCATGTTACAACGGCATGAAACCCTTCTTCATTAAACGTGCGCATGACATGAAGTGGTGGGAAGCAGCTGGCGAACGGTGATGATTCCTGCTCTATTCAAGCAGTCTTCAATGACCTGCTGGGGTTTTCAGATGATGTGTGACGGCAGCAAACGCCCTTCGAGCTGCTTTCTCACTCAGCGACGCTAAGATGTGGTCGTAGTGGGCGGCTGGAGGGAGATCATTGAGTAGTGACCATATAGGCGGCTTCTACATCTGGTAGTTTGAGGATGTTTCGAAGATCGGAAGCTTGCGTAAGGTGACATGTGGTTTTCAAGGCGAGTTGCAGAGTTTGGTTATGATGGCGGGAGGTCCATAGTCAATGCCTGGCTTCATTGTCTCCAACTTGCGCATGTTTTTACCTCCGAGACCAAATATGTAGCGGCCCTTAATAGTTGTAGACAGGCAGAATCACAGCCAACACAGGCAGGCCGAAGAAGAACAGGAGTTACGCAGTATCGTCTGAATTAGGGTCACAGCTTGAACTCAGCGGGTACAACACAACTCTCTATCCAGAGAAATTTTTTTTATGTCATTGACAATGTTAAGTTTACGCATTCGCCGTTCTCCTTACTCTTTCGCTATGCTGTACCCTGAAAGAGAAAGAAAGTAAACTTGATTAGTGTGATCAATAAGGTTTCCATTACGGTACAGTAGGGTAAGGGATACATCTGTGACCTTGAGTCTTGTGCGCTCTTTGTGAAGTTCTGGTGTTCAGCTTCTTCAATAGGTACGGTTGTTTGATTATTTTAAAGGCTGTGTGTCACAATTTATCTGAGATGAGATATAACACCAGAACAAGTTGGCTTACCTGATAGTTGCTCTTGGATAAATTTCTAACTCACTGCAGGCACACACGTTTAATGAACACGTACGTGTTCACTAACTTTACCAAAATCTGCATGTTATCGGGATCAACTAAAGTTAAAACTGACGTACTCCGTGACTGGCAACACTTAAGGGTATGTTAGGTTCTCCACGTATCATGGAACCCGGTCAACATTTACGTGGGGCAAAACGAGGAAACATGTTGTAGATCGTAATGAAACTCGGGGTAAATCACGAGGTGAAACACGTGTTTTGTCAACATTTTCTCGAGTTACTTTCCTCTCCGTGTCCTGCCACCCGTTTCCCCTGAGGTGACCCGCGTTTTTATTCCATAGCCCCTAGTTTTACCTCTGTTCGCCGCGTTTTTCCCTGCACTTTTTCTTCAGCACGTTTTGTGCCGTATTTGAAAGACAGCCCACTCTTTTGCCTTATGTTTCTTTGCTTTCCCCTGCAAAATGTTGACTGGAAAGGTAGAATAATAGGTAGTTTATGAGATTCAGATTTGCGGTTCAAAGATGGATTATGATTTTGCATTGACCCTTTTCTAGTAGACTTCTGTGCTTATCCAGTCTGTTTTTGAAGTAACCAATTGATGGCTCGGACATTACCTCTGGAAGTCGGTTACAGGAGTTGATTACTTGAAGTGGAAACCAGTATTCTATAGCTAAGTGGACGAAATTTGTACTTTGGATTTTACTCTCATGTTATGTCCTTTTAGGTTTTCAAACTTGTTGACAAGGAAAAGATTAGATAGATATGTTCGAAAGTCGTTCATTAAAATCCTGTAGAACCTAAATGAATCTCCTTTATATCTGCACTAGGATAAAGAGAAGAGTTCCAGTTCTGCTTGGGTCAGACTAGCTTTTGAAGGGATTATACAGATTGCCGTTCTCTGAACTCTCCAAAAGTTCTGTATCGCCTTTCAGGCAAAGATTTGCTACCTGTGCACATTTTTCGAGTTTAGATCTAATTAAGAATATGCATTAGGTGGTGAACTTATCACCTATTTTAGTAAGCGTTCTGCTTTCTGCCCAAAGTTTCCTAAACCTTCGGGCTACTACCAGTTGAAAGTGGATTTCAAATCATGATGTACTATGACTCCTAGCTCATAGTGGGTCAATACTGAGGGTAAAAGAGTCCCTTCAGCGTCGTAGATTTCGCTTTCTGTACGCCTCATATGCATGCTCACCCACTTACCTGCGTTGGTAGGCACCAACCATTTCTCTAACCAGATTAGCAAGCTATCTAACTTCTGAAGTGCATGTACATTTTCGTCATCCCTAATTTGTCGCCAGAATTTTGTATCAGCACAGAGGAGTAAGTTTCTCCATAACTCAGTCTTATCTCCCCTCTTTATTACACTGTCAATGAATCATTTGAAATGTGTAAATCATCGTTGCACTTACCAACAGAGAAGAAATTTAGAGGCTTTTGCGTAATGACGAATTTATACGTGCACCATAAATTAATTTAAATGAACAATTCGGATGAATCAATTGTCAATACTTAAAATCAGTTTTGACAGAAGTGCATTTCTCTTTAGTATCTTATAGATACAACGCTGTTTGCTGCTTAAGTTCCTTGAGTTGAAAAAGCCGAGAGTATTCACATACAACGCTCTGAAATCGTCTGTGTATTCGAATACAAATCTACAAAAGAGATTCTTTTACTATTTCATAGGGCCTTTAAAATTGACACATTTTTGAGAGATCTTACTCTACTACATACAGTCTTATTTTGAGGTTTCGTCATCATCAAAATCAACACAGGATCAGGTGTTACTACCTAATGCTCCAGGTTGCCACACCTAATATCACCACATCAAGTAACAAGATGGAAAATGAAGAAAGAAAGAAAAATCGGTCTAGGGAAGTATAAAGTAGTGAAGGAGAAGGATGAATGAAAAACTGACAAGTTAAGTATAGCGGTTAAGGTGAGGACAATATGTCCACACCTGCACCACTGATATGAGTTCTGAACCATATCACTTAGTCTCCAACCACTGGTTTATCCTGTCCAACGGATCCAAACCCGATAGTCCACATCACCACACATGGCTCAAACCAACAGTCAAAGACTTCATACATTGATGCCATGTTTTAGTCTGGCCACCCCGAGCCTTTCTCCAACCTGAACCTACTTCGGCCAACATTGTGTGACGAGGCAGATGGCAACTAAGCATACGTAACACGTGTCCCAATCATGTCAGTCAATGAGGGTTCATAACTGTATCAACTGACTTACCTCTCCTCCCTAAAACTCTACGCCTGGTTTCTGCGTTACTCACATGGTGATACCACGGAATACGGTCTATACTACGAAGGGCAACAGTGGTCAAACACCAGCAGCTTTCTCATCTCCTTTATCTGTCATTGCCATGTTTCGCAACCATAGAGTAGACTGCAGCACAGTACACTCGATTCTTAATCGACAATTAAATATCGTGGGGGCACCAACCGAGTCTTTTGTATCCGTCCACAGATTTCGTCGACCAGTGGACCAGCACCCACTAGGGCTGATCCCACTTCCCAGGTAAGCGAAGTGTTCAACCCACTCAACCACTTCACTCTCTAATGTTAGCTTGGGCACTGTTGAAAACCATTCATGGAATAACAAATCGCGTTTGTGTAGTGAGAAATGCACCCCAAACAATCTCAAATCGTCACTCAGAGTTCAGAAGACTCTGCATCTTGTCAGCATCTTCAACTAACAGGAACATATCATCTACGTACTCTAAGTCTACCAAAAATCCTCGGATGATTCGGTCAATACCTGTGTAGTCAGGTGTCGACAGGGAGACCTCCATTAGAACGTGTATGAAAAATTGAATAGGAATGAAGAGAGTGGGCATCCTTGACGGACATCACTCGACGTGCACAGCTCACTCAACATTTCACCATAGGCTCTAACACATCCACAGATGTTTGAGCAAAGAGCTTTCAACAGAGTGACGCACTTACTCTCTATCTCTTTGAGTGAGAGATATTGTCATAAGTCTTCTTGATCGACGGGGTTGAGTGCCACCGCCTTCAGGTGGAGAAATACAGCTATTGTCGGGCGTCAGTAGGCGTATGTGTGTTCCAGAACCTGGTGGAGTGTGAATATTCAGTCGATACTCGTACGACCAGGTCTGAAGCCTGTTGGGTTTACTCGGGTTTGATGTTCTCGAGTTCCACTCAGGTGTTTAATGATTATAGAACCTAGAATTTTCGTCAGGCTGATTCCTCTGTGGTTATCGCAAGAGGACTTCTCGCCTTTCTTGAAGACTGGGATAATCAGTGATTGAGATCAGTCTGAGGGGTCCATATTTTAGTCTCACACACTAGTTCACACTTCAGTTAACTTGACTAAAAATACTCTACCTGAGGAACTAGTCGGTTTGGTCCTGCTACCCTACCTTGTTTCAAGTTACCTACCATTTCCTTAACTCCTGCGAGTGTTGGGGACCTATCTCAATGTTCTGTTCAGGATTTGACTGGATAGTGGGCAACGTAATTGTAGATGAAGGCCAGTTGAACTGTTTCTCGAAGTGTTGTGGCTGTCGTTCTAGTCGTCTTCACTGCGAGTAAATCACAGATCCATCCTTCTCCATTCACTACAGTCTCACTAACTGTTGACCTTTTCACCTCAGTTTCCATAATAAATCTAGATAATTATCCACTGTTATTTATCACCACTGTCTTTCTTGTCTTTTAAGCCTTGACTGCCCACCACTTCGCGGTTATTGCGTAGACTTTTTGTCAGTCTACTTTTGAGTTGAGTTTGCTCTTCATTGTACTCAGAGGCGTTAGGGATGGGTTTGTGTGCATCTGTTAACTCAAAAGAAGCACCCGATATCCATTTGCTCTTTTTAACCCTTTTTGAGAGTGGGCCACGGTCTTTAATGCTGTTTTTACAGTAGGCTGGAGATGGCGCTGAGCTTCTTCTAGATGGGTGATGGTGTTCTGTTCCGGTAACTGCCTATCCAGTTTCTCACTGAAAGGGGTCTTAGTGCTCTCATTGTGGAGCGACCCTCGTAATAGTTTTGTTGCTAAAATTTCTCTACGTCCATTAAGACTCAGACGTAGACACGCTTGAACCCAAACTCGAAATGGATTTAGACAATCCATCCATTGTTAAAAAATAGATGGATTTGAGCGTATCCCAATGGTAGGTGTCAAGGTTTGATCAATCGTGCTACGTTAGAAGATAGTAAGTTTGAACATTAAGGTTGCTTCCATATCAGCCCTTTATTTTATGTAACACAAAAACAGCTCCTGAAGATACTAAGGGATGCACCAAACGAATATAATACAGACAAAGGAAATATTTGAATGGTAACAAGATGAGGGTACTTCACTTATCTGTACTAGGTATCCTAAAATTAGTTCTATTCTCTATATAGAAAACGAATGAAATCTTCACCATTATCGCTGCCAACTTCGATTTAAGACCACGTTCAGAAAAATTTGACTCTTGGAATCCTAACCTCTGAAGTCACGATAGATTCTGACTCAACATCATTATCATTAATCTCATAGTGTTGTTGACCACCTCCACTTTCACTCAGTGACAGAAAAATTAAATAATGGGTGGCATAGAGGCTACTGGAATAACGTACGTAAACACGCCTTAACGACCAAAGCAAATTTAATTTAGTCACTTAAATAACAGTTTCCATTGTGTTCCAAAATGGCGTTTCGGACCTTAGAATTATGTATGTGGTGGCGTTGATAAATGAATACATTTAGGCTCGTATATGACAGAAATCTGTTAGATGTTAGAAATCAAATGTTAGGAAAAGATAATTCATGTAGGTCTTCTGTTTACTGCCACTCGCTAGGTGTGTATGCGACTTGTTGAACAGTTCTGTTACCATCCATTAACTGATGGATGTTTGTAATTCAGTTCTGCAAAGTCAGTAGTTGTTTTACTTAGTTAGTGACTTCAAAATTGAGATATTTATTCCTTGTTGATGAGTACTAACAAGAACGAAAGTTAGCTCAAGTTTGACTTCCCAGCGATTTCCTCCTAACATCTAATACCGGAAAAAACGCACAGCAGTATCTTGCCAACTAATTCAGTGACGAAATTGCTTCGGTCATCACTTACAACTGGACACCTGCATTGATTACTATCTGATGACTGGTTTGTAAGGAAACTAATAGATTACATATTGATGAAGTAAATTGGTGTGGTGGTTACTAATACTGCCCCGAGTAAAGCAAGATATTTTTCAAGTACAGCCTTTGCGATTTTGTTTCAAAAGTTAGACTCACTCCAACAGGTCCTGGATAAGTCAAAGGCGTTTTTTCGTTTATCATAAGAGCTACGGTAAGTGAGGTTCCTTTTTCGCTGTTTTTGATTTCAGAAAGATCATAAAAGCCGGTTATATGTTCAGTTGACTCAATCGATTCTTCAGCTTGTAGCTATTAATAATGACAGCTAATGGCCTATTCGATGGGATAATAGTCAAACCCAACCTTGTTGTTTTCGACTTAGGTTAGTTTTATAAAGGTGTAAAATGACGATTATGTAGACTGTACACTATGGCCATTTGACTGTGACATTTATGATCGTCAAGTTTTTCACAAAAAGTAGGTTCTTGCCCTTAACAATTATCTACCTTTTATCACTTATAGAGGTGGTGTAATTTATGATGAAGATGGTAGTCCACTAGATGTTATTGAAGATTCAGATTATATATTAAAAGCTATCAAGAATGAAAAGGATATATTACTGGCATGTGCCTCAAGGTTAGTTATTGTTGTATCATATCTAGTAGCATTCTTGCGGCAGTTTATTGTCTGAGGTCGCTTTCGCCAGTGGTGCACGTACTTATGCATTGCCCATCTTGACTTGTTACATCAGGTGGGGGATTTGTAGAAAACCCAGCACGTGCTGATACTGAGAAGCAACACTAAATTATAAATTAACTGTCAGTAATAATTGGTGATGGCTTTTATCGCTAGTAGGATTACGTTCTACGAATATTGTTAGGATACATTACACTGTACAGAATTATTATTATTTTTCCATTCAGGAAGGACATGAAGATTGTCAAAATATCTGCTTTATGTATTGGTCACCAGAAATCATATTCTGAACAATAGTCATTACTCAACTAGGTTTCCCTGTACTAATACATTTTTTATTCAGTCAGTGGAACTATGACTATCTTTCGCCTTCCAGCTTCATTTTTTCCTGCATAGTGACCAGCTACTGATTGGTTTACACCTAGCCTGCAGGTAAGTTGTTGCGGAGGAGTATGCTTAGGTTTAGTGGTGTGAGTCTAATCAGTCAGCTTAAGAATGGGAAAAGGAAAAAAGATGACCTAGCAAGTACATGGGATGCAGTTCCCTTTAGTAATAAAAGGTAATTGACAGTAGTTAACAATTAAAAAATCAGAAGGCAAGGTAGTTCGGTAACCATATCTAACCATAGACCGGGTTAAGTGTTAAAATGCTATGGAGGTCATGGGTTCGAATCCAAACCTGCTTACCAAGTTTTTTTTCAGTCAAGTTGTATCATTAGTGCTTACTTGTTGGCCATGCCTTACAGGCTACTTCGAAAACCGGATTTTTTTTCTGAATGACATTCATTTCACTGTAACTAAAAGTTGTATGGAATTCACTTCTGTATCTTGATGATAACGTGATTAAAACTGCCTTAAAGTCTTCTGATTAGGTATCTTAAACACATTCAATCAAAAAGTTCGAGTGGTATTGTGCTATTAAGATGTATTGGCACATCAATCCCATCTTAAATAGCATATTTACCCAGCACAGTTCGCAGTTGGCGATTTGATATCTAAGGATTAAGACTATCTGTACTCCTAGTCTAAATTCTTTTACGTTGGCTGTACGATATTTATTTCAATGTAAGTGGGTGCTAGTTAATAACATTGTTGACCCATGTATTAGTCTGTTGGTCACATATTTTATAAAGCTTGGTGGTTTTACCTAGTTGTGCATACTTGGGCAAAAGATTGCACTCGGCCCACCAAAACCACCGTATTATAGTTCCATGTATCCTGAAGTAAAGATTCTTATACAGAATGCCAATAGGTATTGTTTCCAACCAAAGACATCCTCTACAAGAGTGCCGCAGCACTGTTGAAATTATGTATGTCTACTATTAATCAATGGGGTCCCCTTATTCTCAATTCGTTTTCATTCGATGGATCGTACCACAGCACCGCATGCACTGGGTTTTCTGTATATCTAGAGTATTTCAGCTAGTAGAACTAATTAATTCTGTTATTTTAATGTACTATTTCTCTTGGATTTCTATGGTACGAGAGTGGTTCACAACTAAAAGGCATACAGCTTAAAAACTTCGGTTTATATTACTCAGCCATTATCTACATCGGCTTTAGAGGCGAATGTACCATGTATTGAAATTTAAATCCATGGTCTTGTAGTTAATTGAAAGGTGTTTGATTACCATGATCTCAAGCTTTATGCTTATTGCTACTGATTGAAAAGTTTTATTTCAAACTTTGAAGAATTTGTTTTTCTGAGATCAGAACTTGTAAATACATCTCTGTTTGTAATCTGTTTTGTTATTTTATGTAAACGGAATAGAAGATACTCATGTTTTTGTATTGCTATTTCCATTTTCACACAGGACGTCTTCAGTAGAAACAGCTCGCCAGTTAGTTCATCTAAATGGCTGGGATAATTTATTTGATTACATGGAAATATATCCAAGAAGTAAGGTTGTCCATTTCCAAGCGTGAGTTTCAGTCACTTTACAATGATATTATAGTTTTACGTTTGCCAAAGGCCATGGTAATTCCAGAACGTGAGTTATAAATTGTTCTGCGTAAGACTTTAAGATTACTTATCTCTAAGTTTTCTAGCTATGTTGTATGCTCAGTTTTTAGTGGTCATACAAAGTAAAATTCACGTAGTAGAAATATCACTGAATCGTTAGTAAAAAAATAATAGCTCCCGAAGACATCAAAATACAAGCATTATTTGAAGTAACAAATCCCTCAAATACCTGCAAATTCTATGATATATTTAATGGTGAGAAGAATCTGTTGTACATTTTAGAATTACTACTGCAGTGATATGCAGCCACCATTACAGAAGATTAGTAAACTGTCTTGATATGATGAATTCACCTCATCAAAGTGAAAAGAGAAAGATTTAGTGTCCAGTCGACTAAAACATGGCTGCTCATATTAGATAATTCATTATCGTACTCCTCTTAACATATTAAAGTTAATTTACTGAGTTAAAATCATCATTAAGCCTTACTATCCAATTAGTTTCCTGAGTAGTTACTTTTAATAATAATACTGATTCCTGAGGTTCTGATGAAACGTCGTGAAAGGTGGAACCAACTAAGTTGAATATGAGGACAAATACTCAAAGACAGCATTGGATTGAGGTCACGCTATATCGTGAACTGTGGCGCCGCCGTGATATCCGATTGTGTATTAAGGGTCGAGTGTACTGCACAGCAGTCTGTTCTGTTCTACTCTATGCCTGTGAAACATGGCCATTGAAGGTGGAAGACATGAGAAGGCTTCAGGTGTTTGACCACCGTTGCCCTTCGTAGTATAGACCGTATTCCGTGGTATCACCATGTGAGTAACGCAGAAACCAGTTATAAACCCTCATCGACTGACATGGTTGGGACACGTGTTACGTATGCCTAGTTGCCATCTGCCTCGTCACACAATGTTGGCCGAAGTAGGTTCAGGTTGGAGAAAGGCTCGGGGTGGCCAGACTAAAACATGGCATCAATGTATGAAGTCTTTGACTGTTGGTTTGAGCCATGTGTGGTGATGTGGACTATCGGGTTTGGGTCTGTTGGACAGGATAAACCAGTGGTTGGAGACTAAGTGATATGGCTCAGAAATGATGTCAGTGGTGCAGATGTATACACACATTATCCTCATCTTAACGACGCTATACTGAATCTCACCATTTTCTCACTCTTCCTTTCTCTCTTTTCGTACTTTATATTTCTTTTGACTGAATTTTCTTATCTTAACCTTGCACTTCACTGCCTTTTTATTTGATGTACTGATGTGAAGTGTGGCAACTCGGACCGTTACGCAGTAATGCCTGGTCCTAGGTTGATCGTGAGCTGACAGAAGTAGGAAATATGAACTATTGGATTCCGACTCATTATCTCAATGGTAACGTGCTGGCCGTGGAACTGAAGGCCATGCATTCGATCCCTGGCGGGATCAATCGAAATCATTACGCATTTTATTAGCACAATCAGAAATCCATAGTAGGGAGGATAAAAGGATGAAAATATTGACAAAAAATTGGGTGATTAGGGTATGGAATTTGTGCATAAAACTAAGAGTAGTAACGTAAAGTGGATGTGAATTCAACGCTACTTGTTACACATACGGTTTTCACTTGTTACTCCATACTTAAAATCTTCAGTATTCCTGATGGAATAAATGATGTTTAAAGGCGCCAGTGAACAAGACTTGCACATGGTTTCTTCAACAAAGTAGAAGATTTTGTTGGATATATATGCTGAATCAACTAGCTTCCAGACTACAATATCCTTTGCTTGAGGAGCTGTGGTTAAGGGAGATGACTACAAACTATTAGGTCACGGGTTCGATCCCCGTCCCACCTACCGAGGTTTGGGCAACCAGGCAGTATCACTAGCCTTCACACAAGAGATGTGGCTCATTGTCCACTTCACGTATGTGCACATGGTTGCTTGGTGCATTTCGTTTCGTTTTATTTGACTTCCGTGCTTATGCTATCCAAAGACATTTAAATTTGTATGACAATATTATACAGTTCCTTACCCCTACTCTTTCTTATCTTGACATACAAGACAGGAGAATAAACTTGAGTAATACAGAAGCCGGGGCATACGCTGAACCGGGGAAAAGATCTTAGAAGATTTGGATTTCGCCGATGACTTTGTGTCTAATGTCTTTTCGCACAAACTCAAAGATGTACAGGCAAAATCCAACAAGTTGACAGAAGAGGTGAGGCAACGAAGACGGGACTTCAAGTGAACGTATAGAAGACAGAGGTGATGAAAATACCCAACCAACAACAACAAGCACCAATCACCATGAACGAGAGAAACTTGAAGGAGGTAGCCTCTTTCACATGTCGAGGCAGCACTGTTTCAACTACAGGCGGCACAAGCACAGACGAGGACGTCAAAGCCAGCGAGGATCGGGAAAGCAAGACAGTTGTTCATTAACCTGAAACCAGTGTGGAGATCCACTGCACTGCACTCAGCATTAAGCCCGAAGAAGATCCGAATTTTCAACACCAATGTCAGTGAAGTTAGTGTTTCTATGTGATGGTTCAGAGACTTGGCGGAGCATTACGAAAGGGGTTTCCAGCAAACTGCAGACATTCATCAACAGCTGCCTACGCTGGCTCGTTACTGAAGCTCAAATGGCGAGAATAATAGGAATAGGCAACAAGGAACTCTGGCTGGGAACGAACCAACCAAGAACCTATCGCTGAACAGATATGCATTGGAAGGAAGTGGAGATGGATTGGGCATACACTGAGAAGGCCGATTGGGGACATCACGCTTCAGGCCAGGTTGTCGAGTGGAACCCAGATGGGAAACGGCGAGTTGGGTGTCTATGATGAGGGTGACATGGAGGAGATGGTGTGGGGAAGAAATGAGAGCTTGTGGGCAGTGGTGGAGCCAGGTTCAAAAGATTGCAGAGAAGAGAATGCACTGGAGACGTGCTACTGAAGCTGCATATTCCACTAGGAACCCAAGGGACAAATAATAATAATACAGAAGCCATGTACACGTTGAATAAAATAAGGAAATGTGCTACTAAGTCAGATGAGCAGTTAATTAGTTACCATGTAACAGAGAGAAACAACCAACTTCCTCGATGCTGTAGCTATAAATGATAACAGTGTGTGACTGTGCAATTTAGTATTGTATATGGACAGTATTTAACCAGAAGAGTTGGGGATTTTAAACCACTGCGGTTAAACAATTCATGAGTTCCATGCATGAGTAATTTTTCACTACCATACATACGTAACGTTTTCGCTGGGATTTCATGTTGGGATTCACCATTAACCGGCATCAGTTGCAGATGCATTGGAAATCTGAGGTCACTGAATAGCTGTCTCGTCCTAGTATGGGACTCCTCAGGACCTTCAGGTTCTGTGTCCAGCACGTTACCGTTGAACCACTGGGTCGGAATCCAGTGGTTTATATTTCCTACTTCTATCAGTTCATGATATAGTGCGACTTCCTTCCAATACTGTTTTTAAATATCTGTCCTTATATCCGACATGGTTAATTCCACTGGTCACGACGTCTCACCAGGACTTCGAGAGTCACTTCTCAAAGCTAGTTGCTAATGAGCACTAGATTAATTCAGTTTTGAGGTTGGTGAGGATTAATTTTTTATATTCCAGTTTGGTATTCATCTTGAAATGACGTCAATTGGAGAAACAGTGAAAACCTAAGAGCACTGGACAGCTGTACTATATCGTGAAATGACAGAAATAGGAAATATGAACCATTGACCCAATGGAGACGTGCTAACCGCTGGACATGAAGGTCCTGCATCCGATCCCTGGCGGGGTCACGGGTGCGCACTGCTAAGGAGTCCCCTACTAGGACAAAAACACTGTCCAGTGCTCATATATTTCTACCGTTTCTTCAACTGATACCAGTCTGTGATGTATACAAACCTGAAGTTTCGATTGGGTTGTCGTTATGCCCAGATCCTGCGTTGTCTTTCATTGATTATTATCAGCAGAATTCTGTCAGTGGTACACTATATTTACTGAATGTATATGTTTACCACCGTAAAAAGGTAACTTGGTTAATGTTCTCACATCTTAAGTTTCAAATACTTGGTATCATATCGAGTGAAGGTTGTTTTGAAGTATAGTGGTGATACAAACCTTTGTTACACTTTTTTAAAAATCAGTTCGATGTACTTTAAACACCAATATATTGGTAACGATTTTTATTTTGTTATGAATCTGTAATAATGTTATTGTTTTTTTTAGTATCACTTGATCTAAGCTTTCATGAGGGTTGTCACCTGTTATATATATATATATATATATATATATATATATATATATATATATATGATATTTGAAAAATTCTTTCCCTTGAGGAAAACTAAGCACTATATTTCACTCAATTGTCTTGATCTTTTCAGAAAACATTGATTTCATTTTGACCAACTTGTCTAATCCTATTACGTAATGCTTAATTGATTTACCGCTTTCACCAACTTTCTCACCTCCTTCTGAGTTATATACTTTCTATGAACCATTCCATATATTACATAATCTACTTTGTTATCATTTATACTTAAAGTGTTATCATAATCACAGATGCCTATGTCATCATCCGCTCGATTATTATTGTCATCGTCATCGTATAGTGTTTAATATTCCTCACGGGATATATATATATATATATATATATATATATATATATATATATATATGACATTTGAAAAATTCTTTGTATGCATGCAAAGAGGGAGAGAAATACATAAATTTGTAGGATACATACCTTAGTTTCTACTTTAAATTTAAACTTGTTCGGTGTTATAAATTTCAACTTGACTTTTCTTGAGAGCGATTATAGTATGGTTGCTATAGTCTTTCTGACGAGCAGTATAATACTAGTCAGAAAAATATCATAATTTAATTGTGCATATATTTTCTTTGTCGAAAAGTATGTACTTTTTTAACAGTAGCGAGCTTTTATTGCCGTAATTA